AACTGGGGGGGGAGTGGGAATGGAGTCTTAATGAGTGCTAATGAGGAGTGTGAGGGGGTAATTGAAGGGTGCTCACGGGAAGCTGCTGATGGAGGTAATGGGCTGCTGGTGGGGTGAAGGGGAGTCTAAAGAGGGGGGGCTGTATCCAAATCCCCCCAGCCCCGTCTCAATACTGCAGCAGGACAGAGATCTGCCTCCAGCTGTTCCCACCAGGGAGCAATGGGGCAGGATAGAGATTCACCCCCCCCACAGTTGGGCACGATGGGCATTTACACTGCCCCCATAGTGGGGCAGGAGGAGGATTTGCCCCCCTTCCCCTCCTCCCCCCCGCCCTCACCAAGGCAGCACGGACAACAGCCGGGATGCAGAGCAGCCTTTGCCCGAGGAATGGGGCAGAGTCAACCTTCGCCCCGCACGGCGCTGGCTGTGACCCAGTTTAGGGACAGCAATGTGCCCCCACCCACACCATGCAGGGAAAAGATAAAGCCCCACAGCCCTCCCCAGCACCAGGCCCGGCCCCACCGGTGGGCGCAGAGCCAGGGAACTTCACCGACCCCGGGGACACACAGCAGCACTGAGGCAGGAGGTTCGTCCCTTCGCCATTGGCACAGCACTGCCTGTAAGGCAAAGGGGAAACTGAGGCACAGAGCTCACAGCAGGCACAGCAGCGGGGCCATGGGCCACTGCTCTGTGTCCCCAGGTGCCACCACCAGTGGGAACAGCGGTGGGGAGGACGTCCCTGTGGCTGTGACGTGGGTTGGGAGGGAAAGAAGAGATGGGGAGACTGTGATAGGGGCTGCCATCATTGTGCTGCAGTGGGGACACAGATCCCTCATAGGGGGGAAGGGGACACTTGGTGGGACACTGAACACGGCCTGCGGGGAGGGGGGACACCTCTCCCTTCTTGCACAGTTCCTTTTTTTTTTTTTTGTCTTACAAAAGAAGTTTTAAGGCGTTTTGTTGGGGAGGAAGGCTGTGCTCTGCCCTGCTAAGGGGAAACTGAGGCAGGGAGGAGCTGCAGACAGAGGGAGCGGGGACCTCTGAGCACACCCCTCCTCCAATTAATTACTGACTGCAATCAGCGGGCAGCGTCAGCTCCCCCTCCCTGCAGGCTGTGGGGGCAATGCTGTGGGTTTGTCAGCTGGAGGGAGGGAGGGGGGCCGTTCCAAAAAGCACAATGCTGAGGTGAGGCGGTGCTGTTCCACCCTCCCTGGGGTTGTCCCCCTCTTCCCCCCCCGGTGTTATTTCAGTTACTCTGGGGTTCGCCATCTGCCAGGAATGGAAAGCAAAAATAAAAGAGTTCCGCTGGAAGCGCGGTGAGGTCATGGCGGGCGACTGCAGAACTTTCCAGCTGCGATGGGGAGGGAAGGGGGGGGGGAAGGAGAGAGAAAAATAAACCAAAAAACAGCCCCAGGAAATGGGGGACAGCAGGAAGCGGCGATGGGGGGCTTCAAAACCAACGGGTGGAGGAAAAGGGCTCCGTGGGGCTGGGGTCAGCAGTGCCTCAAAGCGATGGGCTGCGCTGTGTGGAGTCCTGAGAGGGCTTTGATGGCAGCCCAGGAGCTGCAGAGAGAAAAAAAAGGGGGGAAAAAGTAATTATTAAAGGAGAAATTGAGCCTCAAACA